GTTATTATAACAAGACTACAACTTTTTATTCCAAAACTTACGTTTAATTCAGAAGGACAAAAGTTGTACATGGAAAATTATCTTAAACCTTACAAATGGACATATTTGAATGAGGTGGTTGAAAGGTCAAATAATACACAGCAACAGACAGGACATTTTAGAATTACAAATGCTATTTCAAAACCGCGGCATGTATTTGTTTTTGGAATTGATACAGCAAGAATCGATGCACAAACAGAAAATCCATTTTTATACGATACCTTTAATCTGCCAAATAATGCTAATATATCAAGATGTTACCTGGAAGTTGCAAATGGAAATGAATATCCAGATATTCACTTTAAACCTTCTACAGATATGACAAGAGTTTTTAGAAATGTAATGTCATACGTCTATGCAAATAATGATTATCAAGGTGGAACATTACTTAATATAAGTAATTTTAAATCTTTATTTCCTTTTGTTTATTTTGACCTAACAAAACAAAAAATGGATATCAAAGATGGAGTTACAAAACTAGCATTTCATTACGAATTAACTGCTAATCCAAACGCTGATTATAATATTTACGCATTAGTCTTACATGAAAGAATAGCAGAAATATCACAACAAGATGGAAAACTATTGCTTAGAGCTTAAATCTAAATTAAAAGTTCAACTAAATAAGTGAATTGATAAAAAGTCATGTGGTAAAACAAAAATAAAAGCCGTATCACGTATTTAATCGAACTTTCACGTGAATCATAAATTTTAATAAGAAAAAACAATAGGTTTTCACGTGTAAAACAAAAGACTAAATTCCGGATTACCCTAGCAACTCAATGTTTGAAAAGTAAAATTAAAAACTTTATTCGGTTTTGTTCGTTGTTAGGGTAATCTGGAATGTGTTCTTTTGTTTTACACGTGATAAACCATTGTTGGCAAACCGTAATCACACGATAATCTCGTGATATAAAACAATAACCTTCTAGAAGGTCACTATGATGTAATATTTATATTTTAAAAATAAAATCTAAATATATCACACCTAGAACATTCAAACTAATTAATAATGTTAACCACCAACCGAGTGAAAATACAATTAACCCAAAACAAATAAGAAAAGATTAAGCGACGAGATTGAATTTAATATAAACATCAAATAAAATGACTTCTTATATTGAATACGGAGTAACACTTACAGATGGGCAAAAGTCAAAACTGGCTTCTGCGATAATAAATCAATCACCACTAACTCTTCGATTAAAACATGGGCATCTTCGAGGTTCTGATGAGTTAATGTTGACAAAAAGACAAATTGATAAAATAAAAAAATCTATTGCAAATGGCACAGGATCAGATATAAAAATAAGTAAAACTCAAATTAGAAAATCTGTGAAACATGGTGGAAACTTATTTTCATCACTCGCATCTCTTGGAGCAAAAGTTCTTCCTTTCGCAATAAAAGGAATTTCAAAAGCTGTTCCCGCATTAGCAACCGGTGCTGCAACTGCACTTGGTGAAATTGGACTAAATAAAATATTTGGAAAGGGGGTAAACTATGTTTCCCCCCATACCCCCCTTCCTTTACAAGGAATCACAATTCCCCCAGAGTTTTTCCCAATGCTACCGCCTATTGTAAGAGAATTTACCAAATCACAAATAAATCAAATTAACAAAGCTTATCAATCAGGTAGTGGAGTAGTTATAAAACCAACTCGTAAACAGATAGAAGGAGGATTTTTAGGTACACTTGCTTCTATTGGTATTCCAATAGCAATTAGTTTGGTATCAAAGATGCTTGGAGGAGGACTTCAGGTCGACAGACGTGGATCATCTAATACAGCAAATGTTTACGTTCCACCCACACATGGTACGGGTTATCCATATCGCTCACCACCCTTTATCGGTACATGGTCCAACCCTATAGGAATGGGTGTTAAAAAAAAAAAAGCCGGCAGGCCGTCAAAAGGCAAGGGTTTACTATTAGGAAAAAACAGCCCATTCAACTCAATTCCCATTCTAGGAACAATTCTATAAGGGGAACAGCCCCTAACACCCCTCCCTCTCAACATTCTAAACTCCATTTTGTAATTAAACCTCTATCCAACTTTGACCTCATGGAATGGGTAAAAAGACTTGGTATTAAACATTTCAGAGGAATATATAGTCGTGATGGATTACCAAAAAAGATTAGAAAAGAATGTGGAATAATTAATCTGGATGATATTAGTGGACCTGGAACACATTGGGTTTGTTATAGAAATGGGGGGAGTACTTCCCGGAGCCCCCAAAACCCCCCTGCTGGTGGGGAAAGTGGTTTGTATGAGTATTTCGATCCGTTTGGACTGATAATGCCAAACGAAGTATTAGACTATTTTCACACGGGACCTGTAAAACCTATTGTGTACTCAATGGATGAAATACAAAATCGCAGTACTGTTCTATGTGGTTATTGGTGTTTATATTATTTATTCGAGCGACAAAAAGGTAAAGGTATTCTAGATGTAATACATAACCCTAATTTTGATAATGATAACAGCGATTTTATAAAGTCATACTTTGGAGGATAAAAATAATATTTAATAAATATTATTTTTTTAATCTTCATCAACCGGTGTATTTTTTAGTGATTTAACCCTATCAACTTTTGTATTTAGATCTTTAACACTATCAACTATATCTATGAAATTAGAGTAAATATCAATAAGACTATAAAGTTTCTTTTTTTTATCACTATTTAGCTGCAACCAAGAATATTCCTCGTTTCTTATTTTTTTCCACATCTCACATTCACCAACCATCAGAACTCTAGAAAGATCTTCGTTTTTCTTTCTAAGAGACTCCAACTCATGATTTATTTTTGTTCTTACTTCTTTCTCGAAATCTTTTAGCGTTTTAACATCCATCTTTTTTTCAATCTCAGAAAAGAATTTAGCTTCCATTTATTATATAAATAGATAATTACCTTTTACAACTTTGTTAAGCGTATTTGATTTCTCACTTATTTCCATAACTAGCTCAAATACTTTTATAAATTTCGTATCGTTTTCCAATCTAGAAAAATCAGCGTATTCATAACTCATGTTTAGGCTACTATATATCTTTTGAAGCTCACTTTTCAGAAAATTAGATCTGGTAGACATACTTCGTAGATGTATTTTATCTAAACATTATATAAATGGCAGAATCATATTGTATTGTAGATAAAAGAGTAACCCCTTGCACAGAGCCAAGTGGTTACCAACAAGATAAAAGAGGTAGAACTCAATTCTTTTGTAGATGTGCAGTTTGTGGAAACAAAAAAGTTAGATATGTAAAAATGGGGAATACTCCCATGCAAACTGGAAGTGGAAAAAGAAAAACTAAAAAGAAGTCAAAAAACTAATTAGCCCGTCTGAAGGGGCGGGCGTCTTTGATACAGTTGTTGGCACAGCAGTTGATGGATTTGTACATTACGGGCTTCCTTGAATGGGTAAAAAAGCAGTTGAAATGGGACGATATGGAGCAAGCGAGTTAATGTCCAATAAAGATCTTCAGAAAAAAGCTGTAAATTATGGGATTAATAAACTCACTCCATTTATTCAAGATTCTGTTGGATCAGCCATGGATCAGCTGTCAACAAAAGTGAGGCCAAATAAAAAGTATAAAACTGACAGACCAGAATTATATGGAAAAGGAATTGATGTTCACAAGCAAATTGGTAAATTACCAAAACCAAAAGGTGGATGGACATTGCCGGGGCATAAATATACAGGCCCTTATAATGATCTCGAAAACCAAATAAGACACAATCCGGAAACCGGCGAAATATTAGAAATTTATGATCAACCAACTGGACCAACCGATGCTGTCGCCATGCAGCATGATGTTGATTATAGTGTTTGTGGGGATGACCGAAAGTGTAAAAATAAGGCTGACAGAAAGATGGTAAAATCGTTAGATGCTATTCCTTGGAAAGAAAGACAATGGGGTCATACTTTGGCTAGAACAATAATTAATACTAAACAAAAACTTGGTCTTGGTTTAAACGCGAGTCGGCGTTGAGAAGTGATTGGTCTCAACAATTAGCCGACGAACTTCACAAACCAATCACACGAAACTTTCAAAAGAGATCAGTAGTCTCAAACGGAATTGATGATATCTGGGCTGCTGATTTAGTTGAAATGCAAAAGTTTAGTAAATGGAATAAAGGTATTAAATATTTGTTAATGGTTATAGATGTGTTTAGCAAGTATGGTTGGATTAGGGGGCTGAAAGATAAGAAAACTGAAACTGTAAGTAAAGCATTCGATGACATATTCAAAAGTAGACCTAAACCTCAAATGTTATGGACTGATAAAGGTTCCGAATTTATAAGCAAACATTTCAAAGATTTTCTGAAAAGAAATGGTATCAAGCTGTATCACACTGAAAACGAGGAGAAATCTAGTGTTGTTGAGAGATGGAATAAAACAATGAAAAACAGAATGTGGAAGATGTTTACTGTGAATAACAACACTATTTACTGGGATAAGATAGATAAACTAGTTGATGATTACAATAACGCTAGACATTCTAGTATAAAAATGACTCCTGTTGAAGCAAGTAAAAAGAAGAATGAAAATAAAGTTTGGTCTAATTTATACGGTGATTTCATCTACTTGAAACCTGGTAAACCAAAGTTTGCGATTGGTGATAAAGTTAGAATATCAAAATATAAGAGAAAGGTATTTGATAAAGGTTACACACCAAACTGGACAGAGGAGATATTTGTGATTGATAAAGTTCTGCCAACAAAACCTGTTACATATAACATTGTTGATTTGATGGGAGAGGAGGTTAAGGGATCTTTCTACGAGAAAGAATTACAAAAAGCAAAACAGCAAACATTTAGAATAGAAAAAATTATTAAGAGAGATAATAAGAAGAAAATGGCATTAGTAAAATGGAGTGGATATCCTGATAAATTTAACTCATGGGTTAGTTCTAAGGATTTGGTTGATTTTTAATACGAAATTCGTATTAAAAAAAATAGTTATTTACTCGTTTTCTTCATCAGAGATAACTAAGTCTTCAAATACTGGTTCATTTATTTCTCCGTTATCGCTTTGCTCTTCTTCCTCTTCAATTGTTAGTAAAGACTCTCTAGGTTTAAGCGGTTTTACATAACACTCATGAACTTTTATTTGTAAAGAAGTCACAGTTTTACTTATAAAGATTCCTTCAATTATCAGAGCCAATTTAACATTACAGTACTGGTTAATATGTTTAAAAGGATTTAGATCCTTTCCCCCCTTTCCTTTAAACAAAGATAAAATTTTCTTTGATTTTTCTGAGTAAATAAGTTTTGCATAAAGAACTGGTGCAGATGAGGGATCTTTTCTGGTTTTCTTCTTTCCTTTTTTATCAGTGTACTCTTCTTGTTTGTAGTATAACGGTGGGGAAAGAGACGAAGCTAAATCTGGTCCATATTCATTCTCTAAATACTGTTGAGATAGAGATGTTAAGCTATTAATAAATTCAAAAAACGCTTTTTCTTTTTCATTTGGTTTGCTATCTTTCGCCCAAAGACATACTGGGATACTATATCCTACTAACTTATTTGTTTCTTGGTTTTTCTTTTCACTAACACCAAAGCTAAAAAGAAATGGGGTTTCGATTACAAGTGGTCCTTTTTTGTTGTTTTGGTATTTGATTTCAATTGGTATACGCTTGTATTTAATGTTACTATCTTTTACTTTTGACTCTTTTGCTTCTTTAAAAATAACGTTGTCTGAGGTTAAATGATCGTAGCTGGATAACTGCATTTTGTTAATTATAATTTATTTCTTAAACTATAATTTATTTTCAATTGTGACTTTTAAAGAATATAAGTTTTCTAAAATTTCTTTTAATCCTTCTTCTAAAACTTTTATATGTTCTTTCTTTAAACTACTATCATCAAGTCTATCGGCATAATATTTACCGTTTAAACTAATAATTTTATTAGATAGACTAGTTGAACCAACATTACCATTTGAACTCATTTTTTTATATTTTTTATTAAATTTTTAATTCACTTTTTTTCTGGCCAGAGTAAATGAACGGACCAGAAATTTGGCGATTCTGGTTTATTATAAGTTAACTCTCCTTGCTTATTTTTTATCTTTGTAGCTCTAGCTAAATATTTGTCTCTTCTCTCTTTATCCTTGTGTATTAAGTAGTCTGGATATTTTGGAGAACCAAAATGTACTTTCTTTCCGCTTGGAAGTGTGGCCATATATTTATTATTTTTTCTGGTTGAGTAATCAAGTGATTCTGCGCCAAGTTTTTTAGCTCTTCTAGTTAATCTTGTAAACTTATCTCCTATAAGAATAAATTTTTCGTTTGGAACATAATCTGGGTCCTCATCGTGTCTATATCCATCATCAACTATAAAATCCAAATCCTCTTTTGTAGGAGTAGTTTCTCTCGATCTTGGTTCCATTTTTATTAAAAGGTTATACTAAAAATCTTATAACTGAGATTAAGCCACAAGATTTAATCACTGTCACTGTCACTGTCACTATCAAAATCACTATCACTATCATAACAGTCAGAATTTACTTCATTAAAAAATTTAAAAGTAGCATCATAAAATTCTCTTAAACCCGGGTAAGGTTTCTCATCGTCATCAAAAAAATCGTAACGTATTTTATAATATACATATTCTCTAACAAAAAATAGTAAATTATCCAAATCTTCTTTTTGCAATTCCAAATCACTAATATTTCTTAATTTACCTTTTTCTCGTGCTCTAAAATACCTTTTAATAAAATATTTTATTCTTTCAGCTATTTGGCTCTCAAATAATCCATTATTAAGGTTATCCAATTTATTTTTTAGATAACCGAACTCATTATTTATTCCTCTAAGTAGTTGATACTCTCTTGCGTACCATCTTGCATACTCAGGAATTTTATTTCTACTGGTTAAACCAGAAACACCAACTGTTTGGTTAGACATGATGTCTTATAATGAACTATTTTATTATAAGACTTTATTATTTAACTTCAAATTTATTTTTAGCGCAAGTTTGGTGTATTTGGTGTATTTGGTGTATTTGGGGGATTTGGGGGATTTGGGGGATTTGGGTAAATAGAGTATATTTTTTAATAGTAGTTAGGGAAAGATATATGCCCGACGAATCCTATTTTTCGTTTTTGTCCGTGCACGAACCGTGAGGTGAGAGCACGGACAATGACGCAAATTAGGCATGCGATGAGATGTATCTTTCCCTAACTACTGTAGCCAACTAGATCCTACAAAAAAGAGTAAATTTCATCTCCTGGAAGTAACTATGTTTCGGTTATTCTGCATTGATTCGAGCAAACCAATTCATTTGAATGTTTCTTTTCTTTACTTGACTTTAATTGAAAATCGATCTAAAAAATAGTATAGCTCTGCAATCCTATTTTGCCGCCAATATTCAAATTTCAGAGTCTTTACATCGGGAGATTATTTTTAAACACGATTTATAAATCCTTTTACAGCTGATTTCATTGCTATGTATACACCCGATTTTTCAGACATGATTCGACGGTCATGATTCGACCTGTCATGATTCGACACTAATCACGTGACGTATCGCTTCGCAGTACGTAAACGGTTGCAGTTCTTCCGTGGGATCCGAAACAGTGAGAGAAAAATCTGGCCGGCAAGGAAAACTTAGCACTAAAGGACATAAGTGTAACGAAGCTAGAATCCCGACAAATGCGTTTTACCTGGAGAGGAAAGCTTTGTTGCCTGGAAAGCAGCGACATGATACAGAAATTGTGATAACATGTTATCAGGTGATAAACCTGGAGTTCGATTGCCGAGTTCGAATGTGTCTCTGTAGGAGATTTCATAATGGACGAAATATTATCAATACGGCGAAAAGCGAAATAGTCCGATGGTTTATCGTTTAGTCTTCTTCCGTTTGACAAGGTTTCGGTATTTTGCCGTTGGTGAATACCACCCGCAATTTACATGTAACAGTGATGCAAATTTAGTTAACAGGGAGGCAAATTTGTATTTCTTCAAGTTGGTACTTTTTCGACCTTACTTAGCTTCTGCAGGGTTAAAAAATAACAGGAAAACTTGACGTTTTGCAGAAGAAATCAACAGATAAATTGATCAGTCTGCCGATGTGAAATAATTTGCTGGAGAGTTTGAAAGTTTTGTTTTGTTGACCATTGACAAATATCAGAATGTTCGATCCTCGACCTATGACCCTAGTGAGCACAAATAAAGAAAACCATACATAAAAGAAAGCAACACTTGTTTTTATTGAAATAGGGTAAAATATGATATTTCTTTAAGATCAAGGTAGAAGGCCAAAGAAAGTTGAGAAAAGAGCCGAAAAACTTATTGATCGAGACGTCCACACGCCCGATTACATGTATTGCGATTAGATTGCGTGACTTGTATGAGAGGCTGTTGTCTGAAAAGGAGAACAAATCATGGATCACAGTCCGCTTTTTCTGAATTACAAGAGAAACATTCAAGCTATTATTAAAGTAACTTTCAGATTGTGTGCTTTGATTCCTGTAGGATATTCAAGGTAAAATACTGTACTGCTTGGTAACCTCTCGGTCGAATCATGACGGTCGAATCATGACCGTCGAATCATGTCTAAAAATCAGGGTGTGTACACAGCACTGAAATCAGCTGTAAAAAACGGTAGAAACGTTCACTATAATTAACTTTTGAAAGGTAGTATAAAGTCGAATCCCGTATTTGCGAGCCGGGAGTTAAAAGGCATTGAAAGTTGAACAGGAAAGTTAATAACCCCGGGGGTAATAAGCAAGCAAACTGTTTCTAAGCCTTCAAGTTGGTAATCGAGTACTTGGTTAGTTCATAACGGTAATAAGGGCCCAACAAAGTTCTATTCAGGGGGGTGGGGGGAAGAGACGAGGTCTGGGACCGAGAAACGATGTTTTCACAACTTGCAAAGCAGTCATCCAGAGTGGTGGTCAGCGGATAATTACAGTATTTTTCCCACAGTAAATATTTTTAGACTTTTTAGAAGCAAGAAGCGAACCAGCAAAGGAAATCAGAAATGCTTAAAAAAACTGGAAAAAATCTTATCATACATCTTTGTTTTTCTTGCATATTGTATTTGTCTTTCGGTACTGAAATGCGGGAGAAACTAAAACGCAACCGTGCTAGATCTTAACCAACAACAACGCGCACGATGGATTTATTTATAGGTTACATCGTTTTTGCCAGGCAAGGATAACTTGATGCTGATAAAAATTACTGGAGCAAGTGCCAAATTTATCGGAAGCAAGTATATTCAAGAGAGTTTATAAATATGAGCTCACTGCTCAACATATCATAACTGAATAAAAATTAACACTTCATAAGATCTCACTTCGTTTATTTCGATCAGTCAACACCTTGAATCCAAAGTTAAAATTGAAAACGACTCTAAAACAAATCACAACTTCTACTGAAAGCTCTGTACCTTGAGGCGACTTTAACTTTCCTAAGGTTTGCAGCAGAACACTGCTCGATAGCTCAACTCCTCGGCGGTTCTTAGCAGCTATACGGAGCTATGTGTTGCATATTCCAGACTCTGCAGAGGGAAATTGTTTAACAGAAAAAGAAAACCACACACTATGTCTGAAAAGCGACATAAAATCAATAAATTTGCGAATTACCACAATATAACAGTGAGAAACAGTCCCGCCTTCGACCACCATGCTCTTTCTCAAGACCGTTGATCTATGGGTTTTGACGTAATGCGCATGATCTGTACACAAATCCGCTGGCAAGACCCTTGCTGATCGCTTTGCAAGTTGTGAGAACATCGTTTGGATTTCATTTAAGAGAATGGATGGGAAGTAGCTTCCCCCCCCCACCCCCCCCCCTCCTGGCTCTATTATTTTGATTTACCTGGCAGAGCTATTTCTACTAAGAAATGAAATAATTGTGGCAGTAAGAAAGAAAATCTGTACCTCACCTTCCTCCATTGCTGCTCCTCGGTCCCCTCGTGGCTGTGAGAAAATAACCCATTCAAGCCTTTTATAGCAGCCGTGGCCAGGTGACTTTTTCGGCGCGAAAATACCTTCGCAGGCTCCTGACCTTCGACTTTGATAGAGGGAGGCATGAGGGAGGGTAGGGGGGTTGACGTCGTTGTTTTAAGCACTTTTTGGAATACACATATTTTTCGACATTGGTAAAGGTCATTATTGGAATATTACAACCATTTTTTTGTTTTTTTCTATCATTAGGATTTATTTCTTTATTTTTTTAACCTCTTGAATTTTTATCCCGTTACTCGTTTTCTCGTTACTCCGTTACTCGTCACTCATTGCTGCGTTACTCTGTTTGGTAACACCCTATTTATCCTTTATTTTGATGCTTTAGTTGCTTAAGTTTGGAGCTTAGGCACACGAATTTTTTCCACAAAAAATACCATTTTTAGGTCAATTAGGTTCGCATCACGCTTGTTAATGGATGAACTAACAGATTTTGGATGACTTGCGAGAAGCAAGAAAATCGCTCCTCCGCTGTGAGGTTACCCTCTCATTCTCAGTAAAGCGATTTCTAATTCGTAAATTGTCAAGACAAAATGCTGACCTTCGTGGCAGATAATAATAAAACAGCGCGGAATTCTGTTCGTTGAAAAGTGGGAAGTTACAATAATACAACATGTCATCGTCAAACAACACAGTTCAACCACGTTCTGCTTTCAAGTGCATTTCAAGTCTCTTCTTTGACATTAAAACACTCCCACCAAACAAGGAAGGTGTCGCTTCGAACTTCTTAATGAAGGTAAGTTAAAGCTACAGAAGCGAAGTTCTTAAAGAAGGCATTTAGAAACTTAGTTGTTACTAAAGAGATCGATAATTAGTACGATAATCGATATACAGAACAGAGCTCCTGCTTCAAATGACATGGTGTCTACTGAGCTGAAATATTATTGTATGAATAATTTAGCTTGTCTACATTTCAGTTATTGGTTTGAAATTGCAATTTAGAGGCATGAAAACATCAGGAATTGCAATTTCAAACCAATAACTGAAATGTAGAAAAGTTAAGTTATTCATACAATAATATTTCATCTCAGTAGACATCATGTCATCAGCCGTAGTTCGTCTGGCTTCACGTCGCCATCTTGAATTTGTCTTTATTAGGACCCAAGCTTCGCACGGTCCCGAACAAAGTTGGCCCGCTTTGAAGCAAAAATTTCAAAGCCTTAGTTTGTATCAGGCGGTAGCCGCTAGAGAGAATGTATGAGAACCGCTAAAATTGGGTCTGATCTCAGGTTATATTAACCAAATTCCAAAATCCGAAATATCCCTTACGGCAAATGAGCTTTTTTTGTTTTTTACAAATATTTTATGCCTGATACTATCCCGTCATGTTCTTTATAAGTGGCGTATTTATAACATCATTAGTTTACACATGAACTCATGAACTTTGCTATCAATCTTGTGACGTCATTTTGCCACCAAA